TATATATATATATATACAGGCAAATAAATATACATAGTAAATATATAATATATAATATGTAAGTATGTACATCTGTGTAAATGTACATGTATTGAATATATATGGATAAATATGTATATAAATAAATGTATATATTAAGATGTATATATGTAAAAATGTAAATATGTAAATGTACTTATGTATTTTTGAATGTATCTATATAAAAATATATGTAAATGTTTATATATATATATCTATATGCGTATATGTAAATATGTAAATATGTATATGCGTAAATATGTTTATATATGTAAAAAAATGATCATATTATGTATATATGAAAATATGTATATAGATGTATACATGCATAAAAATAAATATAATGTATGTAATGTATATAATAGCTTAATTATTTACAATATATCTATTTGCATTTATATAAACATATACGGAATATATCTATGGGTGAGTGGATGCATATAAATACATATATATATACACAGAAATGGGTATACATGATATGTATTATACGTATATGCTGACAACTTTGAAGTTATTGAAACCGTCATTAATCATAATCACCAACAAATGAGGATATTATGGGAGAATATGGGATATACATGGGATATACATTACTGGGAATATGCTGGTTGTCCAGTGCTGGTCATGGAGGGCGTCGTCTCATCACATATGATGTGTCGGGTTAGCAAGATGTTGGAGATCCATAGCGCACACACCATGGTTAATTTAGATACTGTATGTAATTTAGATGCTGTGTTGACTCATTTCAATCAATGGCCATGGAGCTACAACTAACCACAACCAACCCCAGGAGGACACAACTGATACAATCCATGAGGACATAGAAAATAAACCCAGACTTGATGATGCTTGGCAGCCATTAGACTAGGCTAAAGATAGACCATTTAGCCAGCGACCGCCAGGACATAAGTACTGTAGCCATGGGTTGGGTCATGAACCTTACACATAGGAATGGATATCGGTCGTTTAGCATGGGCCATTTTAACAATGGAAAGAAATATGAACATCTGAATCATGTCTATTGGCCGTCAGAGCTAGCAAGTGAGCGAGGTCAGTCCTCTTTCAGTGCTGCTACACTTGTTGGCTGGAAGAATCTGTCACCGCTGGTATTCCCATCCGTGCAGATTAATACAAGGTGGGAATTCAATTTCAATGATCTGGCACGTTGAAATAACAAGCCGATGCGACGCTCATTTTGGGCAGGTTCAGGCCCAGCGTTTCGGTTGGGAACACCGTAGAAAGAAATTAAATGAAGAAAACGGCGGCTGAGCGCACCTAGGGTGCTAATGATATTGCTGCGATTATCCACTTCATGTAGAGTGTAGAGCAAGGCTTGCATGGAACTTGAACCCAACTGGTATGAGACAGTGGGAACTTTGGCAGCTGCTTGGGCCCGAGGCGTTTCCAAATGCTCGGGGCCTCCACTCGTTCAATCTCACAAACCACTGCTCCTCTTTCGCATGATTGACGCACGTTGCTTGTCCACCAATAGCCCACGTTAATATTCGGAGGAAGATAATAATGCTCATTGGTTTAATGAGGTAGTTCCCCAGTATTGGATGTACCCAGGCATCCACATAAAAAGCAACTAACATTACCCTGGTAAGAGGCCCCAAAAAGTGTGGGGGTAGGAAATCAATGTAGGAGAAACAAGCAACAGTAGCTACGGAAGCAATCCCAGATCAGAGTAGAAATTGTCGGAAATGCACCACCGGGACCTTGTTTTTGTCACAGGCGCAACGGTATGCCTACTGACCAGGCGGACCTCACAAGACCTCACAGAAAATTTCTCAAGATCATCATCAAAGAAGGACCTTCTAGAGTCTAGCCTAGAGGACCTTACAAGACCTTCATGCAAGAACCTTCGACAAGCAGCCCAGAAGAGCTTTCATACAAGCACCTCTATCTAATACAGAGCACGGACCCCTGAGAGCTTTCATTGGGATCTCCACAAGATCTTCCCACAAGGATCTCTGCAAGATCTTATCAAGATCTTCATGCCAAGACATCCAAGAGAATCTCACAAGATCGTCATAGAATGTCTGCCGGAGAGGATCTTACAAGATCCATCCCATAAGAGCATCCCATGGGAGCACCTCCAATACAGGTATAGGATTTTCATGCAAGGACCTCTGAGAGGATTTCACCAGGATCTTCAGAAAACCTTCTCACAAAGACCCTTGGCCAAGATCTTCATGTAATTGCGGACCTCTACGAGCGCACTATGAAACTCTCGCCAGATGGTCCTATAGAAGGACCTTCCAGAGAACTCATACGATCTGTTTGCCAGGATCATTGAAAATCAGCCAAAATGAGCACCGCGCCGCAACGGGAGCGATCTGACACGCACAAAGTGACGAGATGGTGGCGGAAGCACATACCAGAATTTCACCAAGTACCGAGCGCACCACGAAAAACGATGAAAGTTTCAAGTGTAAAACAGAATGTTTTACCTCGGTTTGGGCACTTTTTTGCTGAGATCTACAAAGTTCTACGCCTGCCATAAAAATGAGCCTGAGACATCTGAAGCACTGCGCCTGCCACGCAAAATCATTTCAAAATAAAAATGGCGACAGTTTCACAAACGAGTATAATTTCGAGCCTTTCAAGACACCGTCCAAGTTGCGCCTACCATGAAAAATGGATATAAGTGGAAAAACGGCACAACGTGCAGGTAAAAGTAAACTTTCGGAAGAGCACAAAACAGGACAACCACTTTGTGCAAGCTTGCGCAGTCGAAATGCACATGGACATCTCACAAGGGAACTGTTGTGCGAGCCAGCAAACGAAACCCGGAGGCCGCAATGTGAACCCAGAACCACCTCGTTTGGGGAAAAACTGTTGCGCATCAGAGAAAACATGCAGCCCCACCCTGAATGCTTATCACAGTGAGTATGCAGGTAAAGTATGAGTCATCATCCCAAGTTTCCACATTTTGACGAAAAGAACTAGGCTGCACTAGTTACCCTCTGCTAAACAACCATGACAATGGAAAATCCCCGTGTCGTTTGATGATTTTCCCATTTAAACCCTCCATTTGTAGGGGATTTCCCAGCCA